CAGCTGCTGCTGCTGCTGCAGGCGGCCACCCCCAGCAGCAGCAGCAGCAGCAGCAGCAGCAGCAGCAGCAGCAGCAGCAGCAAGAAAGCCTGCTGCTGCAGGACATGGAGGTGGTGGAAGTCATCAGCCCCGCAGTGGACTCGCGGCCGAAGTTGCTGGCGAAGTGAGTGGTCTTTGAATTTAATTCATTTAATTTTAATTTTGCATTTAATTGGCATTTTAAAACTCTTTTTTCTCCTTTTTTTCAAATTAATTTAAACAAATAACTTTTTATTCAAAATCTCCTTCAAAAAGCAGTCAAAAAGAATTCTTTTGCGCCAAATTTCCAAAAAAAGAACCACATGCATGCGCCCCAGCTGTACGTACACTCCACGCAAACGCTAGGCAATTATGCATGCAGTTATGCATGCAGTTGTGCATGCATGCATGCATGCATGCAATTATGCATGCAATTATGCATGCAATTATGCATGCAATTCTGCATGCAATTATGCATGCAATTCTGCATGCAACTGTGCATGCAATTATGCATGCAACTATGCACGCATGCATGCATGCTTGCATGCATGCGTGCCACGTGCATGCATGCATGTGGCATGCATGGAGGTCATATTCTATTCTATCGGATGCATGCATGCATGCATGCTTGCGTGCATGCATGCATGCATGCATGCATGCATGCAGTCGGGCTCTCGTTTCTTTGATTCCGTGCATGCATGCATGCATGCATGCATGCGTGCATGCATGCATGCATGCATTTCACGCATGCATGCATATCCTACTCGGACGCGTGCATGCACACCATATTCCCGTGCATGCATGCATGCATGCATGCATGCATGCATGCATGCATGCATGCATGGAGTGTATGTGGGGCTTTTTGCATTAAATGCCTTTTGGCCATTTTGTCTTTAAGTGTCTTCAATGCGAAACTTCGTTTATAATTTATATTTATTTGTTATTTGTTTATTTATTATTTCTCATTTATTTATTTATTTCTTATTAATTAATTAATTAATTAATTAATTAATTATTTATTTATTTATTTATTTATTTATTTAATTAGTTTGTTTATTCATTTGTTTGTTAGTGTCCTTTATTTGTTTATTTATTTGTTTAAATTCGTGTAATGGATATAACAGATTTAATTTCACTTCAATGAAATCATTTTTAATTTTTGTTTATTTGAAGTCATTAAATACAGACTCATGAAATTCATGTCTGCTGCTGCTGTGTTGCTGCTGCTGCTGTGTTGCTGCTGCTGCTGTGTTGCTGCTGCTGCTGCTGCGATGCTGCTTGCCTGCTGCTGCTGCGCTTCTGCTTCTCCGCTTTCTCCCCTGCGCTGCTGCTGCTGCGCTGCTGCTGCTGCGCTGCTGCTGCTGCTGCGCTGCTGCTGCTGCTGCTGCGCTGCTGCTGCTGCTGCTGCAGGCTGCCGAACGGCGTGGAGGTGCTGGCGGTGCAGGAAGCAGCAGCAGCAGAAAGCGGCCTTGTTGCTGTTGCTGCTGCTGTTCGCGGGGGAGTGCTGCAGGAGCCGCTGCACCTGCCGGGGCTGTCTTTGCTGGTGGCTCACTGCACCTTCAGGGGCGAGCGCCTGCAGCTGCAGCAGCAGCAGCAGCAGCAGCCGCAGCAGCAGCAGCAGCA